CTTTTACCACTCTGTACCCAAAGCAACCCCATAAACTTGTATTTGACAGAATCACGCCACCAAGTAATGATGGATAAATGTTCAATTAATTGAACAGTAGGGAGAAAATCATTCATGGACTATATGTGGTGGAGCGTTTTCTGCATCTTTTTAGTGGTTGCGCTGACAGTTGATCTTACCACCCACAAAGATGATAAACCCTTAACACGCAAACAAGCTTTGTTTTGGAGCCTCCTTTGGGTGGCCTGTGGGTTAGCTTTTAATGGATATATTTGGTTTCATTCAGGATCTGAAAAAGCTTTAGAATTCTTTACAGCCTACATCGTTGAAAAATCGTTAAGTCTTGATAATTTATTCGTTTTTTATCTTATTTTTAAAGCTTTTGAAGTCCATCCTACACACCAACATAGGGTGCTATTTTGGGGTATTTTAGGGGCATTTTTTTTCCGTGCGATTCTTATTGGCATCGGTGTAGAGCTTGTTCAAACACTCCATTGGATGTCCTATATTTTTGGTGCAATCCTTGTTTATACAGCGTACTCTATGCTCCAACATAGAAACAACGACGAAATCGTTTCAGACCCTCTGCCATTAAGGCTCCTTCGGCCCTATCTCCCCCTTTCAGACGCTCCCCCTGACGGTCAATTCTTTCATGATGCCAAGGTCGGTGGCATATTGCCCCCCTCTTTCTTGCACTTTTAACGATTGAAATAAGCGATGTAATTTTTGCTTTTGATTCAATTCCTGCAGTGCTTGGAATCTCTCAAGATCTTTTGATTGTTTATACGTCTAATGCTTTTGCTATTCTAGGACTCAGGGCTCTGTACTTCCTGCTTGTTGATTTCTTAAAGTCCTCCCCTCATTTACATGTTGGCCTTTCTATTATCCTAGGATTCATTGGGGTAAAGTTCTTTTTACAAGACTTAATCCATATCCCCACTTGGATCTCTTTAATGGTTATCTTAGTGACGCTCACAACGACCTACTTCTGGAATCGACGGCCCCATTAAACATTTTTTTGCCTTTTAGTCTTAAAATACCCTTAGTGTTCATAAAAAACAGCTAGGAGCAAAGCAATGCACCTTTCAACGCTAAACGCCCTACCAGGCAAAAAAATCATCGCGCACTACGGTCTTGTCACAGGATCAACCGTTGAAACACGGCACAAAGGACAACATATTGCTGCCGCAATTCGCACCATCTTTGGCGGTGAAGTCATGTCATATTCTATTCTTTTAGAAAAAGCCTACAAAAAGGCCTTAGAGAGACTGATTCGACAAGCCAAACAAACTGAAGCAAATGCCATTATTGCTATTCGATTTGCCACGACAAACGTGTCTCTCCAAGCCGCAGAGCTCTACATTTATGGGACGGCTGTTCGTGTTGAGGATTGCGACCATGATTGAACTTTCTATCCTTTTAGGTTTAATCGTCATATCAACCATTACGGGGTCTTTTATTAAAAATAGACACCTGGAATCTCTTAAAGAGAGAGAGCAAAAACTCGCCCATATTCCTGTCGTCACAGACCCTGCTTTAGGTCCAGAAACGCCCTTAG